GTAACACACAATAACAATATATTACAATATCACAAAAAAAACATGTCTCAGTACCATTAAAGATTTATTGACTATTCTGACTGGCTTTTAACGGTGCAGCTAATTCACCAGAATAGTTCAGAAAATCTCGAGGAAACACTCCGTCGGAGTCGCTCCCGTGAGTGATTTCACTTCCACCAGGTAAGTATTTCTTCACACTCACTTTCTAACGACAGTTCTATCACAACATTCACAAAATATCATCGTTTGGTCGCCGAATGAGGACACTTTGCTCCCCGGCTGCACGAGGTTTCTCTCTTTTCTTTTTCTTGTCGCTCACCTTCGCACACACACCGAGAGCTGCAGGTGATGCATTCAGGTAAGCTCAGAAGTTCCATTGCCAGACGAGAAACAACTAAGATGCATTCAAAGGTTCTGTAAATTACAGTACTATAAAACTAATCAGGGTTACAACAGCATCGCAGAGGAGGTCAATGGGTAGAGAGTCGTGGGGGTTGAGACCAGTGCTGGGTCACTAAAGCATCCATTAAACAAGACCTAGATGCTATTATAGCATTAGAAAAGAAAACTTAACTAGAAAGCTAAAAACCTGCATATGCTATGCACACAGCTTTTAAAACTCACACTGACACTGCAGCCCTCGGGCCAATCTGTCACAACAAAGTCCGTTATTAAGACTATTGACCTGAGCTCCCCTTTCCAGGAGGTTTATCCACACGATTGGGGTAACTGGGAATACAATGTCTAAAAAATACACGGCTTGATGTTATAGGATAATTTAAAGTGTAATTGCTCACCCAGATTCTGCTAGTTGAATTTCCCTCCAGTTCTGGGAATAGATTGATATACAGGCATTAAATTCATGTATGTCCCAGCAAGCCTTTTGAATTTAAGGCCCAGTGTTTTTCTATTATATGTTGGTCTATCATTATTAGTAATGGAAATTGCATTACATTTTTATCAATTCTAAAAAATAATCATTAGGTGCAGCCCTTCTTAAAGTTTAAACAATTTAAGGTTAAGTTTAAGGACAACATAATGTTTAAGGTAAGGTATACTTGCAGGACAATTTAAAGGATAATTTCCATTAACAAGATTCAATAGTGAACACACCACAACTGGGTGTGAAACAGAATGTTAAGTAATGAGTAATTATTACAATTGCAATGTATTAAGGAAGCCACTGAATCTAAAAACATAGGTCCAACTGTTACGGCCTGGGCACACTGTACGTGTGAGCAGTGTGTGACAGCCACCTGGTTGAACTGCTGCAGAGAGCATTTCTGCTGCTGTGCTGCTGCAACCAGCCCTGTTTTAAAAATAAATCATAAAAATAAAGCTTTGGTTGGTGTCAGGTAGGGGTGTGTTCATAAACACCTGGAGTGATTTCCCTGTGTGAACAGAAGGGGGCAGTAAAGTTTAGCATGTTTTCAGCTTGACTTTAGGATTTATTGTCATTCTTCAATATAACAAATATTCAACCACTGAGCAACAAAACACCAACGTCAGGTAAATAACCCTATCTTATGGGAGATTATTATCATCAGCACATAAATTGTACATGAAGCAGTAGATGGAAAACACCAATTTAAGTTGATCTGGTATGTTGAGAATGTACATCAACCTGTTCGTCTGTTCTGTCGTTTCAGGGAAAGGAAGTAAGGTTTGTAAATTACTGTAATGTCATATCTGGGACATATGTGAAGGTTAGACTAAACAGGTTTTTGATAGACATGTGGCCAGCATGTAGCACTGGAATGATTAGGAGACATGTAATTATAAATGGTGCTTTGTTCTCCAGCACATACTTTAAAAGAGGCCTTTGACTTTGGTTCTGCCGCAGGTGTGGTGTCAATATGCGAAAGTTCCTGAGTTATAAACACCTCTTTGTTGAAGAAAAAAATCTTTTAGAACTGCCTGCAACAGTTTGCAGGGCTTTAGGTGGATCTGTTATTGTTAAATTATATCTAAACTGACTATAATATTCATAGGTGTGCTTTCATGAGCGTATAATTACCTGAATATAGGAATTCTTGTGTTTTTGTTAACTTAGAATTACCTACAGATGCCGTGGGAGTCCACCATGTTGAACCACCATATACACTAGCCATCCAAACACTGGCTGTGGATGGGGTCTTTCATGTTTTTTTTTGTTTGGCAGACACTGTTGTTTCTCCTGGACACTTCACAGCCTGTTGTCATTCACAGGTCATCAAATACAGACGACAACAGGGTTCAATTAGTTGTAATCTGCAACTTCACTGCTAGATGCCACTAAATCCCACACACTGGTGGTATAACACTTCTTCTTTTGCACTTAACATAACATTATCAATACAATATAAATAGAAGATGTGCAATTTATAGATGAAGTTAACATTTGTAAAATGAAAAAGGCCTTAACATTTGTAAAAATAAAGAGATACTACAGAGACTACAGTCCAGTTTATCTTTACCTTAATTGCAAAAATGCTAAGTAATTCTGATTTGTGGCTTATTTGGTCACTCAAGACTGAAAGTTTGTTTGCTTTATCTTACAAATGTATTTATTAAACAAACAGACTCATTTATTCAATTCTGTTTCAATTTAAATGAAATTTCTTGAAATTCATATAATCAAATATGTTATTCGAATCAAAAAATATTTACATAATAAATCAGATAATTATTTTTATTCTTCCGGTATCCCATTAAATTCTCTACACAGACGTCTCGATTTTGGAGCCACATCATTAAACTAGATATTACACAAGATAAATTACTTATTGGTATGTGTTACAATAGCTTTGCACCTCTCACCAACTGTTATCTTGTCTAAATCATAACACCACAGGACCTTTAAAATATTTAGAGCATGAATGTCAAACTTAATGGGACTTAGTAATGGATGCATTAAGTACTACTTACAACAGCAAAAAGAGGCAGTAACTACTCATCCTTACACAGTGGGATAAGCTGCACGGGCCCCATGTCTTCTTCCTAGTTGCATGCAGGTTATACAAGAGTGGTACTGTCTTATCTTAATTACTGCTCAGTACTCTTTTCAAAAGGAGCTGGATGATGTTCAGTTTAAGATTTAGTAGTAACTAACTCTACAACCAGAACAACAACCAGATTGTCTGTGTACTTTTTGGAAAAGTTATCAAACAAGGCGAGGAGTGAGGAGAAGAGAGGTTACATTGAGCAATTATGTACAGAGCCATATTTCAATGGAATAGCCTGCCAAACTACCGTGGCGGCTGTGGCTCAGAGGAAGAGTTGGTCGTCCACTCACACCACATGTCGAAGTATCCTTGAGCAAGATACTCAACCCCAAATTGCTGCCAATGTTGTGTATGTGTATGAATGCGTTAGTTTCCGTTCGATGGCCTTTGCCATCACTGAGTGAATGTGTGTGAAAGGGTGAATGTAGCATGTAGTGTAAAAGCGTTTTTGAGTGGTCGCAAGACTAGAAAGGCGCTATACAAGTCCAGGTCCACCACAAATTTACCATTTACCGTTTACCATACTTCATATTTCTAGTAAAACAGGGATTTAACAGAAATTTAAGGAATTATTTTTTTTAATTGACCTACAAAATAAATAAGGAAAAAGTATTCTTTAACTCTCTCACAGTATAAATGTGCAAATTAATTTAGACTTATTATTACTTTTATGTTTTATTGTCAAATGTTATATTTTATGTTGTTTTATGTATTATATTCAGTTACTTTTATTGTATTGGTGTCATGGTCATATTGTAAATGTTTTATGCTGTGTAACTGTAAACATGTGTGGATCAATGTTTGTTTCCAAGGTAACAACTAATGGGGATTGAATAATCCCATTCATATTCGAGGTTCAACAATTAATTAATTAATTGCAAATATGAACTGTCCACAAGATTTGATTGAGAATCGCAGTAAGCTATTTAAGCTATATTAAATGCCAAGTGTGTTGTCTAAATGGCTCAAAAGTAACCATACCTGCCCTCCA